ACATCATGAGCTAATTTTTTATATGCTTCCAAAGCTTATTTTGCTTTAGTTCTTCTTGCTTATTCAGTCTTTTTTTAGATAGTCTTTCTTCTCAATCTTGATTCAGTAACAAGTCTTTATATTTTTGGAGCCTTTTATCTCTTTTTTCCATCTTTTGTAGTCCATGTTCTTCTAATAAGATTCTTTTAAACAATAGCAACACCATCAGTCTTTTTGAATCCAAATAATCTTCTCAATTTAGTTAATCTCTTTGGACCTAATCTTCTTGGAACATTTTGATCTGTAAGTCCAGCAATTTCATTTGCTCCCTTTTTAACAACTTATAAGGCAAGGACTCTAATGTCTTAACCGACAATGCATCCTCTAATTGATTTTCTTTTCATTTCACCATCTTTTCTTGGTCTATAACCTTTGTGACCCTTTCTCATGAGAATTCTAACTCTGCCCTTAAATAAGACACCTTGTCTCATTGGAAAACCTTATTTGTCATTACCACCTGTGATTTTGAATACATATCCTTTGTATTCATCACCTAGATTATCAGCTTCAACAACTTGACCCATTCTCTTATCAAAAAAGATTGAGCTAAATAGTATATATAAAATGTTGTTACCATTTCTTGTCATCATCAATTTCGACTGTCTTTTGAGCTCCTGTTAAGGGATAAGAAATGTTAAACTATATAAAATAGTATGTATGGTTACCTTCATTAAAATCTTTGGATTTTTTTAAAAATTAGATTTAAAAATGAATGTGAGACATATTAATAAAATATATGAGTGAATAAATCAATCAAAATATACCATCTATTCAACCTCTTGAAATAGATATAAATGATTCCTCAACCTAAAGTTAAATAGAAAATACAACAAAAAACAAGGAAATGAAATCATCAATTACTTAAGCATCACTTAATTTATACAAATGTTGTATAGGTTCAGGTATTTTGGCTGCACCCTTTACTTTTTGTGAAGGAGGTTATTTACTCACTTCCTTTTGTTATTTTTTGATTTGTATCCTAATGATATACTCATAATTAGTATTTATACTCTTAATTATTAGATGTTGCTAAGAATTGTAGATGAAATCAATCAACCCAATTTAGGTTTTTCTGAAATAACTCGCATAATCTTAGGTGAAAATTATGTATACCTTAACAAGTTATTTATTATTATCATGTAATGGGGATGTTGTGCATCATATATTTTATTTTTTATGGAATTTTTAGAATTTGCAATATACCATCATTAAGATGTAGTATTTTCTCATCAAATAATCTATTTGTCAATTGCCATGTGCATTATCATCCCACTAGTTTTCATTAACAACATGACTTTATTTACTAAATTTAGTACAATTGCAAATGTAATATTTAAGAGTAATCAAGAGTTTCATCATAATTACCCTTATTGCCTGTATTGTTTACTTTAATATTGAACTTGTTTAGGAAGTCAACTATAATGATATCCCAGTTGCTAGACTTAGCAATCTTCCTTTAGTCATAGGAGTGGCTCTCTTTTCTTTTGAAGCGATAGGAACACTTTTAGAAGTTAGAAAGTCTATGAAAGAACCAGTTAAATTTCCAAAAATCATGACTATAGTTTTCTCTGGTTGTACATTGCAATTTTGGATTTTTGGACTTCTAGGTTCATTAAGTTATGGAAATACTACTAATGAAATAATTCTGTTCTCTCTTGGAAAAGGTGCTGAAGCATTTCAAATTCTTTATTCAATTGCTTTAATAATAACTCTACCTTTGTAATTATTACCAGCTTTTCATTTGATAGAAAGAATGAAATTTGCAAAGAATTTTACTAGAGAAGGAACTTCAGGTTATTTATTTAGAAGAACTCTCTTAAGATTACTTTAAGTTTTAGCAATCGCAGGTTTAACAATAGGAATTCCCTAATTCTCTCTCTTAATAACTTTCATAGGAGGATTGTGTGGAGCTGTTCTTCAATTTTTTTTCCCTTTAATGTTTTATCTTAAGTGGGAATGGAAATAAAAACCATCAGAATTGGGAAGTTAAATTTATGTATTTTCAATGTGTTTAGGCTGTCTTCTCGGCTTGGTAGCCGTAGCAGATTCCATTTATAAAATAGCCACATAATGAATATATTTTGTAACTAAGCTATATAAAAAAAATTAAATAAGAATTATTTTAATTTATTATTATTTATAATTAATATCAATTTTTTCATAATAAATTTTAAGATTTAATCTTTTTTTATATAGCTTAGACTAACTTTTATAATTTTAATTTGACTTATTGTGTATATAGTTAATTCTATTTTAATCATTACTATTATTGAATGCATAATCAAGAAATATATAAGATGAATAGATATATTTTATAATAAAATTAATTAAAAAGAACACATATTAATTATCAAGTAAATCATTAAGAAACTTAGTATCAATTTAATAATACTTTGTAATAAGTAAACATATTAATTACAAAACATTTAGTTTGTTAATTAAAAAAATTATAGATAAAATGATTGAGAAACCCAAAAAGATTAATTTAAATTTATTTAATTATAGAAAGGAACAAAAGAGGAATCATATAAAACACTTAAACATCTAAAAAAATACAAATCAATCAATTTGCAAAATTAAATTACTTTATTTTTTATTTCATTAATAAATATCCAAATTAACTAAAATGCCAATCTATAATGAAGTTTGGGAGGAAGAAGGTATCATATCAAATTTAATAATAGATTTTATGTTTAGAAATATGATTAATCTATAAACATTAACAAAGAATCATGTAAAGTTGTTGGATAATCTGAAATTTGAGTTTGTCGAATATAAAGTAATAATATATTTACTATTACAGGCTAATCAATTATTAGCTTGCCATCTTTATGATAGAATGGCTTAACATTGCAAGAATCAATTTGGTCTCTTTGAGGATTCTTATGTACCAGAATGCTTAGATGCTAGAAATTATTTTTAATTATGTGTAAGAATGAATGCTTCATATGGTTTGGCAAAAAAGTATTTTCCAGAGTAATTATATCAGAATATATTAGATATTTCTTAACCAATGAATACTCAAGACCAAATCCAAATTTTAAAGAATTAGGACTTTGATTCACCCATTATATAAATACATAAATAAATTCATAAAAATAAAAAATGTTAATCCTATCAATTTTATATTCTTTCTATATATTAATAATATGAAATTAGTTATTATGAAATCAATAATTTCTCAATAATTAAAAAATATTAGAGAAGACATAATATATAGATTTAGTATTTATAAAAATTTACAGTTTCCGAATTTTTTTGTTCAAAGATTACTATGACATATTTGTTATGTCTGAACTAATAATCAAGCTATATTTATATACTATATTAATACATTTTGAATCTGTTAAAAACTGAACGACCCAATACTTTTGATTTTAATATATGAAATATCCAAATGAAATAAATTAAAAGAATGAATTGAAAGGTTAAGAACCAAATTAAAGTGTATTTTTTTCAATTAAAAGTATTAATAACAAAATGCCAATTCTATTTGGGCTATAATTTCTTAGAATTTTAACTAATAACAGTAAAATCTAATTTAAAAAAGAATTCATCATTAATTTGAATTCAAAGAAATACTCTCACATAACCTAAGGGCTTTATGTTTCAATCATAAAATTAAAAAAAATAAATAATATTAATTATAATCATTATCATTCAAGATAAATATATAAACACAATACCATTGTAATTTTATGAATTTGTGAAATTTAACCTTTGACATTGATTCTTTAAAAATATATATGCTGAATTAATAATAAATCAACTGCACATGGTAAATGATTTTTTGTATATCAATGCTCCACATTATGAACAATGATAGTGTTTATCTTTACAATCATCAATGATTAATGGCAACCAACATAATGGCCAAAAAATTAATATTAATAATAGAACTGCTATCAAAGTTTACCACCCTATTCTTCTTGATGAAAGAAGAACATAGGGAGTACGGCAAAATATGCATATACTATCATTAGCTACTACTACTCCAGGTGTAAAGTTAAAACTAATATATAGAGATGGAAAATAAACTTAATATTAGTTTAATTTGAAGGAGCCTGAGCAGGTGCTTAATAGGGTCCCTGAATCGGAGGATATCCTTAATATTATCCATTGCCTCCCTAATAAGGAGGTTATCCTCCATATGCTGGAGGTTACCCTCCATATGCTGGAGGTTATCCTCCATATGCTGGAGGTTATCCTCCATATACTGGAGGTTATCCTCCATATACTGGAGGTTATCCTCCATNTTCACCCATTATATAAATACATAAATAAATTCATAAAAATAAAAAATGTTAATCCTATCAATTTTATATTCTTTCTATATATTAATAATATGAAATTAGTTATTATGAAATCAATAATTTCTCAATAATTAAAAAATATTAGAGAAGACATAATATATAGATTTAGTATTTATAAAAATTTACAGTTTCCGAATTTTTTTGTTCAAAGATTACTATGACATATTTGTTATGTCTGAACTAATAATCAAGCTATATTTATATACTATATTAATACATTTTGAATCTGTTAAAAACTGAACGACCCAATACTTTTGATTTTAATATATGAAATATCCAAATGAAATAAATTAAAAGAATGAATTGAAAGGTTAAGAACCAAATTAAAGTGTATTTTTTTCAATTAAAAGTATTAATAACAAAATGCCAATTCTATTTGGGCTATAATTTCTTAGAATTTTAACTAATAACAGTAAAATCTAATTTAAAAAAGAATTCATCATTAATTTGAATTCAAAGAAATACTCTCACATAACCTAAGGGCTTTATGTTTCAATCATAAAATTAAAAAAAATAAATAATATTAATTATAATCATTATCATTCAAGATAAATATATAAACACAATACCATTGTAATTTTATGAATTTGTGAAATTTAACCTTTGACATTGATTCTTTAAAAATATATATGCTGAATTAATAATAAATCAACTGCACATGGTAAATGATTTTTTGTATATCAATGCTCCACATTATGAACAATGATAGTGTTTATCTTTACAATCATCAATGATTAATGGCAACCAACATAATGGCCAAAAAATTAATATTAATAATAGAACTGCTATCAAAGTTTACCACCCTATTCTTCTTGATGAAAGAAGAACATAGGGAGTACGGCAAAATATGCATATACTATCATTAGCTACTACTACTCCAGGTGTAAAGTTAAAACTAATATATAGAGATGGAAAATAAACTTAATATTAGTTTAATTTGAAGGAGCCTGAGCAGGTGCTTAATAGGGTCCCTGAATCGGAGGATATCCTTAATATTATCCATTGCCTCCCTAATAAGGAGGTTATCCTCCATATGCTGGAGGTTACCCTCCATATGCTGGAGGTTATCCTCCATATGCTGGAGGTTATCCTCCATATACTGGAGGTTATCCTCCATATACTGGAGGTTATCCTCCATATGCTGGAGGTTATCCTCCAGGAGGTTATACATAAGTTGGGGCGTTGTTGTCTGTGGGTTTAAAATATGACATCTAAAAAATAGAAATATAAATAAATAGATAAATTAAGAATAATATTTAAAAACCTAAATCGTATCTTTAAACCTCCTTAATTCCTCTTAATTAAGAATAATATGTGATTTTTATCGTAATTTTTTTCAAATATAATTAATGTTAATGTTATAACTGGAAATGAAAAAATAGATAATTAGCAAATGAGTAGACTTAAAATTTTTATTCTACTTGAAATTCTTAGAATATTATAAATTGAAAACTTATTATTATTAAGAGGTTGATAATTACAACCTTAAATATCTTTGATATTTTTTAATTCATAAATTATATCAATATTGAATAGAAAAGATTAGCTTAAGTTTATAAATTCATGTTCTGAAATATCTATAATATCTTGATTAATTATTTGAATTTTAATGATTTCTAAAATTTGTTCTGAAACTTTCATTATTTAGGAAAAAATTAGAAAATGAAAAAGATCAATAAATCTTATAAATTTTATGAATTATGATTACTAATATTATTACTGAGATAAATTCAACATCAAAACAATTGAAAACTAACAGTTTCATAGATAATTGATAATAATATTCACTACTGACTTAATAATTAAAAATAAATATGTTTAATTCAATAAAATTAATTCAATCGCTCATTGTATATTATCTTTTATAAATTAATTTTCCACATTATGAACAGTAATAGTATTTATCTTAACACTCCTTCATGACAAATGGCAACCAACACAATGGCCAAAAAAAGATTAAAAGTAATAGAAAGGCTATGAAAACTTATCCTCCTATTTTTCTTTATAAGATAAGTGTATATGGTTGAAAACAGTATATACATATATTATTATTCGCTATAATTCCTCCATTGAATAAATTTTTAAAACTAAAATAGGAAAATAAAAAACCTAAAATTTCTTTCTTATTAAGAAGTGAGCTAAAGAGGATGGATGCCTTGATTATAAGTTGTAGGAGGATATCCTTAATATTGTGGATACGCTACATATTAAGGTGGTTACACAACTACATAATTATGAGGATTTCCTCCATTTTAAATTGGTTAGATTCCTGTTTGAGGAGGATAGCCTTCCTAATATTATTAATAAACCTGAGGTTATTAGTACATTGGCCCTTGCTGTAATTATAATTAATTCGACTGTTGGAAATCAGGTTATAAATAGTATGGACTTTTCTAATTAGAAGGATGAGAATACGACATCTTAGAAATAATAATATTTATTTTTAAAGAAAAAAAATAGAATATCAAAATATTTTCATACATAAATATCTGATTTTATAGATATCAATTCTGTCTAATTCGTTTAAATACATTTGATTTAACTTATTATTTTGAATAATTGTATAATTCGTAAAGAAAAAAGAGATTAAAATGATAAAAAAAAAATATATTAATTTAGTTTATATTAGTTTCAAGAATAGATTTGTTTAACTAAAGTATCTTTTCTCTGAATTAAAAGATTAATCAAAATTATATTGAAATAAATTGGGTTGCTATAAATCTACAGTATCTATAAACTTGAGTTTTAGCTAAGATCAATTATATAATAAAGTCAAATTATTAAGATTCTATAATTGATTCTTTGAACCTGATTTCTATTAAAGTAATCTTTAAAATCTATATTAATAAAATTGTAAATAACTATTAGCCTGACTAATTAGACATGCAATTTTATTCATTAGTAGAAAACTCTAAATAAGAAGATTAATAAATGAATCTATATTAATAGGTTTTTTTATTCTTAAATAAAATTTTAATAATTAATTCAATCAATCTTGATTTTTGATAAATTTTATATAAATGTAAAGAATCCCATCTTAAATTTATTTTTTTTGAGAATATATAAAAACATATTATTTTATTCTAATATATTATCCATTATAAGAGTTTAATTTAAAAATTTTATATTGATGTGTTATTATATTCAATTTTAATGAATTAAGTTATAGAAATAGTAGAATAGAAGTATTCTTATATAAATTTAATTTTTTTTAATCTTGTTTATCTCCAAAATATTTAATAAAGTAAGGATTATGTAAAACAATATCAAAAATTGAATAAACTATTAGTTTTTAATATTAGAAATTAAAATGAGACATTCAAAAAAAATCTAATAATTAAATTCTTATAAAACATATCTTTATAAAACTATATAATATAAATCATCTAATATTTTTATTTAAGCTCTTTTATAAAGTATCTTGTATTCTTTTATTTAAATTAATAAGTTTTTAGTCAACAGAATCAGTATTTGTTGTCTTAATTGTAGCATTATTATTATTGATAGAACTTGTTAATTTATTATTATTAATAGTCTCTCTATTTTCTTAACTTAATGTTAATTAGTCAAAAGTTTTTTAAATTTATTACTATTATTAGTTTTATAACTAAAATGATGAATTTAAAATTGATGATTTATTAGTCAAACCTAGATCAATATTAGCTAACTGTATATCCTTTAAATTCACTAATAACTACTACATCTCTAACCAATCTGGTCTTTAATTAAAATCAATGAGAAGCATTTTTTTGAGTATAGAATCAACTCTTCCAGGATATAGTTATTTCAATTAATCGAAACAATCATTTAAATGGACAACACTAAGTACTCCTGTTTCAAAAATGTAATCACAATTTTTAAGTAGACAGAGAGATAATATTATCATACTAATAGATATTATAAATAATTATTTACCCTAATCCAAATACATCCTACTTAAATCTATTGACTCTAAGATTACCTCCTGATTCTGGAGATTTGTATTAATTTTCAAATAAATGTGGAGCTCTGGCTCTGAAAGGACTAACATCTTAAATTCTATAGAGTAAATATTCTTCATCAAAATAAACTGATTCTAATGTCAAGGCAGAGTGTGTGATTCCTCTTTTTTGAAGAAATATAAAAGCTTCACATAATCCAGAAATCATCTTCCATATTTCTTCTTCAGGTACATATTCTTGTGTTTTTGATCTTTTATCAATTAACTATTTAATATCTAAAGGGAGGTATTCATAGAAGATTTTGAGTTGTCTATTTTGACTAAATTTGTCACTCTATTCTTCAAAGAATAGGAAAGAGACTAGATTTGGGTGTTTCCATTTAGTTCTTTCTTGGATTGCACTTACTTCTTCAGGACCAACAGTATTGATCCAACAACACAAATACTTGGCAAAAGGATCCAATCTATAGATGGAGGATGTTGGAGATATATCAATAACGTGATTAATGGAAGTGTATGCAGTAATCATATAATCCTTTGGATTTTCATTAGGTTATCTAGGTCTTGGTTCATTTTGCACGACTGGATTATATGATTAGGTAATTTTGTGTAAGGGGTAGGGTTGTTGTCTTTAAGCAACACAATATTCTGGGTACATATAATAAATTTCTGTTAAAAATAAAATCAAGTATAAAATAAGGTTTAGTTTGAGAAATTTTCTATTTAATAAATGAAACTAACAAATTAGAAAATGATTGATTGATTATATTAAATTATTAATAATGTTTAGAATGTTTGATCCGATGTATCAATCAATGAACTAGATACTAGAAGAGAGTGGAAACATTTTATGGTTGGGAGATTGCACAGCTGCTTATGATAGAAGTTTATTAGATGGTAAGGGAATAAAGACTGTTTTGACAGTTGCTTCAGGATTGAATGTTTCATATTCTGAAGGAGGAATGGTCCATAAAGTAAATAAAAAATGAATTTTACAAGGTATATCATATTTTGGATATTGAATCATCAAATATAGCTAGATTATTTCCTGAAACAAGTCAATAAATAACAGAAGGTTTAAAAAGAGGGGGAGTTTTAGTACATTGTGCTGCAGGAGTTTCACGATCAGCATCAGTTGTGATAGCATTTATAATGAAAACTAAAGGATGGTTATTTTAAGAGGCATTTGAGTTTGTAAGAAAGAGGAGAAGTGTTGTGTTTCCAAATTATGGATTTTAAAGATAATTAAGAAATTATGAAAAAGATTTAAAGTAAAGTAAAATCTAAGTGAATTTGGATACACCAATTAAGCAAACTTAAAAGTTTTAATAAGAAGTTTAGAAAGAGAAAGTGGAGCAGTTAGAATAGAAAGTTAAAACCATGTGTAACAAAACGAATTTTTTGACTCCTTAGAAGCAACATCAAAAATTGAGATAGCCTTTTTAATCTGCAAAAGTGAACTATGCAAAACAATATCAAGTGATCTAAAACTCAACAAGAGCGAGTTCATCAGTAAAAAGCAACCTGGTTGATCCATAATTCAATTTTACTAATCAGGGTCCTATGATCATATCATATTAACAATAGAGAAAAAAAGGAGTAGAAAAGATGCCAGAGATAAATAAGAAGAATTTATACAAGTGAATATTATAATTAATTAATGAATCCTCGGAGAGCTTAATCAAGTGGAAATAGAGCTTCATCTGCTGTCAAACGAGTTGCTATGCCAAATGGTTACACTTTATACAATTAGAGTGGGCAGAAATTTCATTTACCCAACATGAAGAAGTACTGCAGTTATATGAATGTAAAAGTGCATCTCAACGTTCTATTGAAGAGAATGAGAATAGAGCTAAAACATCAACTCTATAACCAATGCATAGTGAAGCATAGACTATTGTGCATTAAAGACCACAAAGTACAATAGAAGTAAAATAAATTTGAAATTTCTTTAGACTCCTGCAGTAATGATGAATAAATACATCAATTATAGAATAGCATAACCATTTTCTAGCACAGTAGATGTAAATGCACGTTTATGGGAAGCAAGTAAAAATACAACCATTGGTTTGAAAAGAGTTTCTTCAGCTATCAAAAAAGAAGAAACAGAATATTAATAGGATTGTGAAACTATTAGTGGTACATTAAAACCTTACGAATTTCTATCATCTCTTGGAGGTAAAATGATTTCAAATGAACCATCCAAATAATAATCAATTGATGTTTCTAGATAAAATAATACACAGCAACATCGACCGCAAACTGTAACATCTATAGGCAAGATGGACTTCACTATTATTTAAGAATAGCAATAAAGATTATAATCTGCTCAATAAACCTTAACTAGACCTCCTATTTCTAAAAGACCGATGACATCTATTTAGAGACCACAATCTCAAGCATTTGACAATGTAGAAAGCAAAAGAATTAAATAAGATCGTATCTAAAGTGCTACTCTTGATGTATTTTAAAAACCTGCGCAAAAAAATAAAAAATAATTTAGCGAAATGATAGATTAATAAGTTCTAAGACCCTAAAGTAATTGGAGTCATCAAAGACCTATATCTTCTAAAACAACTGCCCCATAAACATTCTTCAAAATCTATACTAAATTTACTAATCTCAGTGCTCTTGATTTACCATATGAAGAACTTTTTGATAGAAATGAAAGAACTGTGGCAGCTACTTTTGCTAGATTTGGAGATCTAGGTTATTATTCACCAATCTAAAGGATTGGAGTTTATATGTAATTTTCAGCAAAGTTAAAAAAAGAACATTTACTTAAAATAATAGATTTATAAAAAACAATGAGTTCTGCTGAAAAAACAGATGGAGAAGTACCCATATAATTAGCTATTGTAAATGAATTGTTTCCAAAATAAGGTAGAGATAAAACAGGTATTAACTCAGGAGCAAGTGATGCTTTGACAAGAGAACCAGTATCTCTCTGTTTGTATCCAGAATACTTTGATGACAATGATGAAAATATTGATTAGATGGAATTGTCTCTTCGAAAATTCAATGAGATCTTAGCTGAAATGAATGGAAATTATGATCCTTCACTTCTATGCAAAGATTATTATATTCATATTGATAGAGAGTTCTGGCCAGAAAATATTCTTAAAGAAGTACTAATATCAGAAGAAAGATATAGAAATTATATATCTGGAGATTATATAAAAAATGATGAAGTTCCAAAATTTAAAAGAGAATGGATTTTAAATGCATTTAATTTAATAAAACCAGAATTGTTACGTAATGAAGAATGTTCTAGATCTATTGTTAAGGAGATATTGGAATTATTTAGAGAATATATGAAAAGAGCAATGCTTGATTATATACTTAGATCTCCAGAAGAAAGAAAGAGATTACATATTACATTACTCCCAAGATCTTTTATTCATTCAGCTTAAAGAATTGCAAGAGAAGGTGGTTACAATATGAAATTATTTCCAGATTGGCATGATTTTGTACAGAGAG